AAAAAAAATTAATATCAATATATTTTAGTATGTTGTACCACATTATCGATCAGTCTTATTTTGCAAGTTACTAATTCTACTTGTTAAAGACTATTTTAGTTATTATTTATGTGACAAGGGCTTAAAAGCAGCTAAGAGGCCAACTCCAGTTGGGGTAATCATAGCTCTCAAGAATATAGGCCTTTTTTTCGTTAAATACTTTCTTACTACTCATATTCTTTTTAAATTTAAAAGAAAAAAAATAATAGAAGAATGGAATAAACATCTAGAATGTTCTCTGTTTCTAGCTTAAAGTACAAATAAACGCTAAAAGAGAAAAATAGTGTGGAACAAATTAACCAGCAGACTATATCTTAATCCAAAAGTGTATGTTTGACACCATTAAGAGAGGCTCAACAGTCACTTTTAGCCAAGTTTCCCTACGTTGGTTTGAAGTTTGAACAATAGGGAACAGTTAGACATGTAAGTTGGAGTATTGTTACAAAATATTTGAAGGACTTCACATAAATACATTATCAGTATAAAGAATTTATCGGTATTATATTAGGAATAATGGGCAGCCCGGTGCACAAAGTATCTCGTGTTCACGCATGATCTTTGTCTTTGTTTATGTCTCGGTTGGAACAAATTACTATATTTTGTCCCCGCGAATTAGTCGACATTTTTCACAAATTGTTTGAACGGAAGCTCTTATTTTCATATTTCTCATTCCTTGCCTTAATTCCGAGGAAGGATTGCATTCCGTGGGGGTGTGATGTAGGCAGCCTACCCTGATGCAAGCATGAGTGCTTGATTCCATGGCTCGAACACGTGACCTATAGATCACATGGAGACAACTTGACCGTTGCTCCAAGGATCCCCTTCCTGTATTAGGACTAATATAGACATTAATATATGGTGTAAAAATGTTCTACAACATACAAGTTAAACTCATATCTGAACCTAAATTTACATGGAAGTGAGCTAGTTTTGGGTTTTTTTCACTGAGATTGTAGTCTTCATGTTCAAGCAGACATTAACAAATTCATTCTTCTTCTATATTTTTCTCCTTTTATTTTCCTTCTCTTCTTCTTTTCTCTGCATATCATATTGAACTACTAGTTTGTTATCTATTTTGCCAAAAATTTATTCCTTTCCCTCCATTTCTGTTTCATAGAATCTTTCCTCTAGAACTATTCAACAGCTTCTTCATCAAATCATTCTTTTCTTGTACAATGCACTTTGATACTACACACTAAAAAAAAAACAAAGTTGTTTACTTCCTTCCTTTAGCTTACTACTGTCTTTGTTAAATATTAGAATCTGGTTACTTGAGAGTTGAGTTTAAGATATCTTGAAAGGAGTTATTTCCTAGTTGCAAAAAAACAAGAACAAAAAGGGTAGAATGAAGCTCATAATAGAAGTAATAGATGCTCATGATCTTATGCCCAAAGATGGTGAAGGATCAGTCAGTCCATTTGTAGAAGTTGATTTTGAAAACCAACTTAGCAAAACCAGAACAGTCCCTAAGAATCTCAACCCCATTTGGAACCATAAACTCCTCTTCAATCTTGATGATATAAGAAATTACCAATACAAATACATTGAAGTTTCAGTGTATCATGAGAGAAGGCCTATACCAGGGAGAAACTTTCTTGGAAGGGTGAGAATTCCTTGCTCAAATATAGTCAAGAAAGGAGAAGAGGTTTATCAAAGATTCCAACTTGAAAAGAAATGGTTTTCCTCATTTGTTAAAGGAGAAATTGGCCTCAAAATATATATTTCATCAGAATCTGATCCAAATTCACATCCTCAAAAATCTTCTAGTCCTTCAAATATTCCTTCCACAGAAAATCAAGAACATTTAGATAATCCACCAGCTTCTCTTCTACCCTCTGAAGTTGCTAGTCTTGATACTCCTAAAGCTAGTAGTAGTCCAAAACTAGAAAATGAAAACACTGACATTTCTTCTAGCTTTGCTTCAGTAGAAAAACCTGGTCATCTTACTCAAAGTGAGCAGGGAAAAGAATCCTTTAAGCATATTGAGGAAAGATCTCAGTTTATTTTCAAGCATCAAGCTATGCAGCAGCCAGTCATACAAATAAGGAAGAGACCAGGTGTCCAACCGACAACGCAGCATCAAGTAGACCATCACCCCCGAGCTATTTATAACCACCCAAGTGTCCAACCAACAATGCAGCATCAAGTAGACCATCCGCCAGCTATTCATCGCCACCCAAGTGTCCACCCAACAATGCAGCATCAAGTAGACCATCCGCCAGCTATTCATCGCCACCCAAGTGTCCACCCAACAATGCAGCGTCAAGTAGACCACTCGCCAGCTATTCGTAGCCACCCAAGTGTCCAACCGACAATGCAGCATCAAGTAGACCACCCTGAGGATGAGTATGAGCTGAAGGACACAAATCCTCAGCTCGGTGAGCAGTGGCCACGTGGCGGAGGATATGGAGGAGGAAGAGGATGGATGAATAGTGATAGATATGCAAGCACATATGACCTTGTGGAGCAGATGTTTTATCTATATGTTCGAGTTGTCAAGTCGAAAGATCTTCAACAGAGTGTCCTCACGGGTAGTTGTGATCCATATGTGGAAGTGAAGCTGGGAAATTACAAAGGAAGGACAAAGGATTTTGAGAAGAAAATGAATCCTGAGTGGAACCAGGTATTTGCTTTCTCTAAAGATCGAATTCAGTCTTCAGTTGTTGAAGTTTTTGTGAAGGATAAAGATATGATGGGAAGAGATGATTATCTTGGAAGGGTGGTTTTTGACTTGAATGAGGTCCCAACAAGAGTTCCTCCTGATAGTCCCCTGGCTCCTCAATGGTACAGACTGGAGGATCGCCGAGGAGAAGGGAAAGTAAGAGGGGAGATCATGCTTGCTATTTGGATGGGAACACAAGCAGATGAAGCATTTTCAGATGCCTGGCATGCAGATGCTGCCTTTGTTCATGGAGAGGGGGTTATGAGCGTAAGGTCCAAAGTTTATGTCTCTCCAAAACTTTGGTACCTGAGAGTAAATGTTATTGAAGCTCAGGACATCATCCCGAATGACCAGAGCCGCCTCCCTGAAGTTTTTGTGAAAGCCCAGGTGGGAAATCAGGTGCTCAAGACCGATATATGCCCTGCTCGAACAGCAAATCCAATGTGGAATGAAGATTTGGTTTTTGTAGCCGCTGAGCCTTTTGAGGAGCAGCTAGTACTCAGCATTGAGGACCGTGTTCACCCTATGAAAGATGAGGTTCTTGGGAGGATAAGTTTCCCACTCAACACATTCGAGAAGAGGCTTGACCATCGGCCTGTCCATTCTCGCTGGTTCAACCTTGACAAGTTTGGTTTTGGTTCCTTGGAGGTTGACAGGAGGAATGAACTCAAGTTTTCAAGCAGAGTTCACCTCAGAGTATGCCTTGAAGGTGGATATCATGTGCTGGATGAATCAGCCATGTATATAAGCGATCAAAGGCCAACAGCCCGACAGCTATGGAAGCCACCTGTGGGAATACTGGAAATTGGAATATTAGGTGCAGAAGGGCTTCTTCCGATGAAGATGAAGGATGGCAGAGGAAGCACAGATGCCTATTGTGTGGCTAAATATGGTCAGAAATGGGTAAGGACAAGAACCATTCTTGACACTTTCAGCCCCAAATGGAATGAGCAATACACTTGGGAAGTTTATGATCCTTGCACAGTTATCACATTGGGAGTCTTTGATAACTGCCACTTGGGAGTTGAGAAGCCAGGAACTGGAGCAACACGAGACTCGCGAATTGGAAAGGTACGTATAAGATTATCAACGTTGGAATCTCATCGAATATACACTCATTCGTATCCCCTTCTTGTTCTGCACCCATCAGGGGTTAAGAAAATGGGGGAACTCCAACTGGCAGTAAGATTCACAAGCCTCTCTTTAGCCAACATGATACATACCTATGGCCACCCTTTGCTTCCCAAAATGCATTACCTTCATCCTTTCACTGTCAACCAAGTAGATAACTTGAGATACCAAGCCATGAACATTGTTGCTATTAGGCTTGCTAGAGCTGAACCACCACTCAGGAAAGAAGTTGTAGAGTATATGTTAGATGTGGATTCTCACATGTGGAGTATGAGAAGAAGTAAGGCTAATTTCTTTAGGATCATGTCACTCCTTTCGGGCGTAATCTCCATTAATCGATGGTTTGGTGATGTTTGTCACTGGAAAAATCCAGTCACCTCAGTCTTGGTTCACATCCTCTTCCTTATACTGATCTGGTATCCAGAGTTGATTCTTCCTACTCTGTTTCTCTACATGTTCCTCATTGGACTATGGAACTATCGCTTCCGGCCAAGGCACCCTCCTCACATGGACACTAAGCTTTCATGGGCAGAAACAGTGCACCCTGATGAGCTTGATGAAGAATTCGACACGTTTCCAACATCTAGGCCCCAGGACATTGCTCGAATGAGGTATGATAGGCTGAGAAGTGTGGCCGGGAGGGTTCAGACCGTGGTCGGGGACATAGCAACACAAGGGGAGAGGCTGCAGGGGGTGCTAAGCTGGAGAGATCCAAGAGCAACCAGTCTGTTTATCATGTTCAGTCTTTTTGCAGCAGTTATGCTTTATGTGACTCCCTTCAGAGTGGTGGCTTTAGTTGCTGGATTATATATGCTAAGGCATCCCAGGTTCAGAAGCAGGATGCCCTCTGTTCCTGGCAATTTCTTCAAGAGATTACCAGCTAGAACAGATAGCATGCTATAAGCTCAAAATTCCAGCTTTTCATTTCTTTTCTTTTCTTTTTCCGTCTGTATTTCCAAATAATAATTTCATGTGTACTCTTTTGTATAACTTGTAGTCTTATGTAAACTTCCAAGCAAATAGATGACTTTATCCTAGATTAAGCTTTCGGTCACTATAATCGGTGAGAAGACAAACTACACTATCTTGGATCCATTGTCGATTTTGCTTTTAAATGGAAAAGAATATACGCCCCGAAAAAAGATTAAAACATGCTTCACCATACATGTAAATAAAGAATCGACAATTAAAAGTACACTAAGATTAAAAACATATAAAAAACTATTGGCTCCAACAGAGCCTAAATAATGGTATCTTCTTATACATAAGAGTCACTACAATGTACAAAAAGCTATATCTAACAAAGTATAAAGCACATAACTCTATATTTTGCTCTACACTTCACAAGGGCATCTTCATGATGCCAGGAAGGTCATTGCACCTCTTGAGCCAGACCGAAAACTTGTACAACTCGGGATTCTTACTAATGAGATTCTCCATATTTTGCTCCCTCCAGCACTATAGAGAAGACAAGAAGCATGTGTTATTTGCAGCACTCTTTCTTTCTCGGTGGCCTACTAGGAAGCTGGCCTTTCTATGTCTAAACTATATCACCATTGCCACAATCAAGTCATCTGATGCTGCAACCCTCTTTCGGACATTTGCGCATTGAGAGTACAATTACAGGTAAAATGAGCATCAAGCTCCTGCTTCCTTCTATCAGCAGCCTGAAACGCGTATCAAGCTCCAGCCCCATTGCTTAGTTTGAGGGTCATCTTGATGTTCATGGCTGCCAGTTCAGCCGCTAGATATTTGAACACATAAGGCATTGCAACAGTCTCCATTCCTTTACTTGTCCGGCAAGCAAGACAAGTTACCTTTTTGGGCTCTCTAGCAGGTGGCAGACCACTAATTTTCCGCACTTCTTCTTGCATTTTTTGTTTTGGCGGCTGGATTAGTGATGCTGTTAGGATACTTCCACATTCAGAACACACGTCTGCAATGTGATGGTCTGAGCTGGTATGGAGTCTATCATGCAGCAAATATGCTGCTCCATGAGCAAGGAGTGAGTCTCGTTCCATTTCTCCAAAGCGGATACCTCCACCACGCTTTCTCCCCTTGATGGGCTGCCGAGTGACCTGGTCTACTGTTCCAGTAGAACGGACCTGTAAAAAGAATGACCCAATTTCAGTATCCAACTATAACATGAACAGATCACCTCAGAATAAGGATATATAAAGTAAGAATACTTGAAAGTCTTAATTTATTCAACTGCACCTGTGCTTTTTTGTGTGAGCGG